ATTTTAAAATTTTAAAATAAAAAACGCAAAACCCTATCTTTTAAAAATCTTCCTAAAAATTTTAAAAAAAAAAAAAAAAAAAGAAAAAGGTAAACAAAAAACCTTTCGTTAATCATAAAAGTCAAAACAAAAACAAACTTCTGAGTCAAAATAAAATATAATAGAAGCAAAATAAAAATGATAAGATACAATTATTAAACATGTCCGGCAATTTCATGCATAATTAAACGCCATTGATCTTGAGTAATGTTCAATTCAATTTCATCTTTTTTACCACCATTGTTACATGGTAAATGAATTTCTGCTACAAGTTGACGATCTTTGTTTAATGACTAGAATAGAACAGACAAATCATAGAATTAAAGTGATGATAATAGAAAAAATACGCTTACTTTTGCAAATTCGGGATTTGTAAATGTTTTCATGGATGTTTGAATTGTACTACCAGGTAATAATTTACTCTGGCATTTGTTCAAACGATTTCCAAGCTATAAAACAAGAAAACAAAAAGTAGTACAAACATCACTATATTTCGAACACACACATCGCGCACTGTTTCTTATAACAGTGAAGTAATGAAGCGGACTCCCAACAGTGATATGGCATCCCTTTGAAGTCTAGAAATTCCTATTATTGTTTATGCAATAAAAAATAGTTTAAAAAATAGTCATCATTTTTGACGAGTTAAAGTGCCATATAGGAAGAGAGAGAGAGAGAAGGCTACTCAGGTTTCCCAACTCTTCCAATTTCGGGATTTTTATTTTGCCTGAGTTTCGCTTTTTTCTTAACGGTATTAATTGTGACGAGTTTTATAATTTCTTGCGAAATCAAATATGTTTAAAGCAATACGTAGTCAATAAAAATACGCTTACAAGGCAAAAAACAAAACGATTCACTGAACTTTCATCGAAAATACTTTTTGACCCCTAGTTCATGATTTTCCTCCTGAAAGAGCTTTCCTATGCACTCTCACGGCTCTGCTATCTGCTAAAATCTGATTCATGGTTTAGTTTCTTAGCCATATCCTACAGTAAAAAAATTTTGATAAAATATCTTTCGATGAAAGTTCGCTGTACGCAAAACAACATGTACTACTTAACCAAAACCATATATGATTTTAAGTTTTTTTCTTGGGTTATTGTATCAATAATGTAGTGAAAGATTTAAGAAGAGCAACAAAAAACAAAATTTACAAATAAATCACAAAAACCAGTACAACACAGTGAGATTTAGCAGTTAGCCAAAAAAAGCCTCTTCTAATTTAATTCTGGTTACTTATTTTTCCACTATCGGAAAACTGACTCGAGTTTATCCCTTTTAAACTAGTTAGCTACGCTATGCCACTATTTTATGATCTCAAAATATCAAAGCAACAGTTATATCTCGTTTTAAAAAAAACATACATCTTTTGCTCCAGTTGTTATTCTGTATAACTAATCGTTTTCTGGAACACTTCTTTCTTACGGATCCAGATCAAAGAACTCTCTTGTCCTACACAATCAATTTTTTACTCACATCTGATGCGGTTTGTTCAACTAATTTCATTTTTGATCGTAATAACTCTTGTTTTGCTGCTACATTTTCACCAGTTATTTTATAATTTACTATTGTAGAATAAAGATCCTTTAAAAGTAAAGAAATGAAGATTATAAGAGTTTGAAATACAATTGAAATCTTACATTAAGTAACGTTGTTGAATTTTTATAAATATCTGCCATTTCATTCTCTTTTCCTTCATTTTCATTGCCAGTACTCGAGGAACTTAACGGTGTTAATTTAGAAAATTCTTGCATATTCTTATTTGTTTTTAAATGCCATAATTCATCTTTTAATATTTTAATTGTATTACGTAATACAGATATCTAGAAAAAAAGAATAAAAAATAGAAAATATAGGCAAAAAATGTAAGATAAAATACACCAACTTCTCGTTCAATATAAGATGGATTTGTTTCGAAGTATGGTGATGATATTTGACGCTGAGGAGATGATTTACCATCGACCGGTTGAAATGCTCCCGTTGGACCTAAAAGACAAGAAAAACAATTGTTTAACGACCGCTATCATTGATGGTTGAAGATAAAAGACATAATTTCCTAAATGATAGATTTTTCGGATATGACTGCTAATGTATATTCTTCTCTCTATTTTTATATATGTTGACAACAATAGAATCTACATAAACATTGTTAGTTTAGTTTGTTTTTTTACAATAAATATAATCTATTTCTTATCCTTACTAAGCAACGATGTTCTTTGACCTTTCTTCGTAATTATATCATCTACAAGAGTTTTCTTTGATAATTTGTTTAATCTATCTTTTAATGCAGTTTTTTCTTGTTCTAATTGTTCATTATCATTTTGTAACACTTCAATTGTTTCTTCACATTGTCTATAAAAATAAAAAAATTATAAGATACACAATCAACATATATTTTATAAAATAAAATGGCATACTTAATCTTTTTTTGTAAATCAACTTTTGTTTCTTCTAATTGTTGTTTTATCTTATTTAATTTATCTTCAGATTCTCGTTGTACTGTATCAATTTTTTTATCATTTAATGACAGACGTATATTTACTTCACCTAATTCATCAGTTTTTAATTTTAATAATTTTCTTAATTCCATTAATTCTTCATCTTTTATTTCTAATTTAGAACGTATAACGTCTGATTCATTCATTGTGGCTTTTAATTGATCAGCAAGGATATTGATTGGTGATCGTGACTAGAAATAGAAATATATATATAAATATCAATACAGACATGATAAAACATAAATAAAATACTTTTTCTTCTTGTTGAGTTGAATCAAATGCACCTGTTTCTAAACCATTACTAATTGTACTCAGTACAGTTACTGCTTCATGCATTGAACTCCATAAACTTTCATATGGACCACCATCTTCACTTTTATACACTTTGTCACATGCTTGATAAGCAATATTTTCGATTTCTTGAATACTAACATGTTCATTAGAATCTCAAACAAAACAATGAAGTTAGAATAATACTAATAATAATAACGCTGATAACTGAAACTGACTCATTTGAGAGATATAAAAGAAAAAAAGAAGAATGTGTTTATTTACTATTCTCTTACCTGCTAACATAATTATTTGTGATGTTAAACCATTACATATCTCTCGAAATGTTTTACATAAACGTTCTAGATTTTTAATTATTGTTTCAATAGCTAAAATTGTTGGTGTATCAAGTAGAATCCATCGTTGTGTATCACTTTCTTGTGGAATAAGTCGATGAATCTTGAAAATAAAATTTTAATTATATATTTATTTTTCCTATATTACAAAGATTTATTTATTTACTCTATTTGCTTGTGTTTTAATTTGTTCATTACTTGTAACAAGACGTTTAACTAATGATGCAAATTGACTTTCATTATTTCCGTTCTAAATAAACAAGACATAATAATAATTACATTATTCAATAGTAATTATCGTTCTAACAGAGACGAGACAAACATAATAATAAGTAGCTTTATTATGACTAAATAAATGTTAAATAAGTCTTTGTTAATTATAGCTATTAAGTTACCTGTCCATGCTCCTGAATCCCACGAACAAAAAAATAATAACAGTCACATAACTAATCAAATGTTTAATGACCTACTTTCATTAATACTTGTAAACGTTGAATATCTGTTTGTAATGAATCTGATGCTATTGAGACAACTCTTGTAACACCATTCATATAATCTGACATAGAAAATTTTTCTTGACTAAGATTACTCTTATAAATATGCTAAAATGGAAAGAAAGAGATGAAATTTAATTGATAGAACTCTAAATAATAGCCTCTATTTGCTTCATATGATAAGAAATTTGGCTTTGTGTTTTAATGATTTCAAACATTTGTCTGAAATAGAATTTTACCCGATAAAAACCAATTGCTTTATCAATAGCATCCAACGATATTGCACCATGTAATTGATCTTTTTGCAATAAATCAATAAGAAAATCAATTGATTTTTCATGCATACATAATTCTAAGTATGCTGCACCAAGTTGACGAAGAATTTCTGGACTACATGTTTCAACAGCTCTAAAAACAATAATATTTATTTATTATCTCTATACATAAAGAATGAGTTAGACAAATCCTACTTGGCATATTTTCTAAGAATCAATTGAAATGTACTCAGTATTTGACATAATTCACAAGCAAAACTCCATTGTTCAGCACGATGGGATTTAATGACATCTTCTTCTGTAACTTTATCAATTCGCTCAAACTTTAACAAAAGAAAAAAAATAAAGATGATAAATCGATTAATAAAATTATTTTTAGTAAAATCTTTTTCTACTTTTTCTTTAATTCGAGTCGCTAATAAATCACATTTGGCAATTAAACGTTGAATTAATAGCTGAACAAGAATACAATCGTGATCACCTACATAAGAAAACATTAAAATGAATGTGAAAGGAAAATGTGTCCATCTTTAATATACCGCCACGTTTAATAAATTGCTCAGGTAAAAACATTAATAATAATGTAACATGACGTTTGGAATTAGCAGCATCGAGTTTCTTCAATTCAGATTCGATTGTCTTATTAAAAAAAAATAGAACAGAATCATAAACAGAAGAGTTAACAGAACTAATGCCTATTTTATTTACTTTTGCATAACTTTTTGTTTCAAGTATTTTTGATGTAAAATCGCTTGATTGAGTTGAGGTAGCTAATTTGAGTTGTTCATCATATTTTTCCATTTGTTTTTTAAGTTGATCATTTTGTGCCTTTATTAACGAGAAGACATTATCATCTTATTTTTTTTCTTTTATAAGACTTAATAGTTCACTCATATTGTACCTGCATATTTTTAACTGTTTCACGAAATTTTAATATGGTTTTCTCATGATCACCAATTGAATAGCGTAGTAGTTCAATTTGCCTTTCACTCTAAAAATAAATAAACTATATTAATACCATTTGAAAGCATTCAGTGATATCTTACCTCTTGTAGTTGAGTCTGTTTAAGGTCCACGCTTTCACGAAGATCGCGTTCAACTTCTTTTGCATTTTGTTCAATTTCTTTGTCCATATCACACAGAGATTCCTAGGAAAAAATAATATAGTATTTTTATACTTTTTTTTTGTTAATGAGCAGAATATACAATCTTACTAAATTATCAACAGTTTCTTGTAATTCTCGAACTTGATCTTCTAATGATAAGTTTTTTGTTGTTAATATATCAACCATTTGTTGTGCACCCAAACATGTATCAACCTCAAAGAAAAACATAAATCATCAATGTTAGTGTATTTATCACTTTGTTATATAAAATATTTTCATTCAACCTTCCGAAGGAAGAAGAAATGATGGAGGTTTAAAGACAATTTTTGGTCGTAAAACTTGTGCTTCCCAACTTTAGCTCTCATATTTCTCTGAAAGTGTACTCAATGTCAACAAACTTCTAGGATAGATGATGCTGAGGTATGAAAACTTCCTTGATCTTAATTTTTAATCTTTTTGAGATTTGTTCCTAAAACTACAAAGATTCAGAATGGGGACTTAAGTGCGAACGGCGCTCGGAGACGAAAAGGATGACTTAGGAGAAATTTTTGAAATTTTCAGTTTCTACTACCGCCAGAGAGAAAAAAATATTTTACAGAAATTCTTGAAAGTGTCCCTGAAGTCATACTGTCTTCGAAGAGAAATCTGAAATGTCATCGTTTCAATTTATTTCGGAGAAACAATTTTTACACTCGCTCGCGGAAGCGTCGAAACATTCTGAACCTTTGCTAAAAACTAGATACGAAAAATGCTAGAGTATTTGCAATTTTGACTAACAGTATGTAATATACTTCATATATATCATCATCATTTTTCGTCATCCATGTTTTTTACAGAGTACTTCTATTAGACGATGAAGATTATCAGATTTTTTTTTATAGTTTTTGATTGTTCTGCTGAGATCTGGCAACAATTTCAATCGATGCTAATAAAAAAAATCGATCTAGATTCAGTTCTTTTAATTCTTTAATGACGATTATACTGTACATATGAACAGAATAAGATTTATTACACGTTGGACAATTTTCACCTTATTATTCGTGAAAGCTAAATTGATAAGCGCAGCAACACATACTTGTTCTTTTAAATCAGTTATTGTTGTTTGCATACTAGCAACGTCTGTCTTATAATGTTCATTTTCTTTTGTTAATACTTTTAATTTTTGTACCATTTCCTCAGATTGTTTTGTCAAAGCATCTGCGTCTGATTGTTTTGCTAACAATAAATCACGCAGTCTATAATAAACAAATAAAACAAAACACATTGTTACTTAATCTAGTATATCTGCCTTATTCTCGACATAAATTCTAAACCCCTTCACACAGTATTCACTAACTTCATTGAAAACAGCGAAAGATATGGTAAGAACCAGAATAAAAGAGAACAATGTTCTCTTAGCCGAATCGTGTCCGAGTTACGTACTTAACTAACGCTTGTTCCATTTTCACTGTTCGCTCATCATCGACTTTCTTTTGTATTGTGTCGGCTGCTTGAGATGGCCCATTTAATTGAATTTCGCCTTTGATTACGTCTAACTCAAGTGTAACTTCCTCTAACTTTTCTTTTAAAGTTGTATTCTCTAGTACAACACTTTCAAGCTATTAGGAGAAAAAAAACAAGTATATAAAACGATTTAACAAATAAAACATTAACACAGACTTTTTCTTCGGCAAATTCTTTATCGAGAGTAACTGATTCTATTCGCTCTTCAACATCTGACATTTCATCTTTATAAGTTAAAAATTTTTCTTTAACATCTTTTAATTCATTTTCTTGTGCTTGTAATTTATGATTTAATTCATTTAATCTTTCTTGTGCTTCGCGCTTATACGTTTGTAACTAAACATTAAATAATTGATCAACAATTTAATTGTTAATGAATTGTATGAACTCACTTGATCTACTTGAATTTTTGCTCGTTCAAAATCTTTTGTTTTTTCTACATCTTCTCGTCTTTTCTTGATTAACGTTTGAATTTGTTCTTCGTAATCGATTAATTTTGTTTTTAATGCAGTAATCACTTCTTGATCATTTGCTCCGTTTTGTGATTGATCATTTTCCACTGCGGCTGTAGATTGAGTCTGTTCAGAAACATAAAACAACTTAAAGTTGCTATGACAATATTTCTATTTTTTATGATTTACCGTTCCTGGTTTGGGAATTGTAGGTATACTTTGTTTTCTTACTGTTGCTCTTGTATCTGTCGTTTGTGGTTTTGAAATAACTGTATTCGAAGCGTCCTGATGACTTTGATCATTAGCTGATGATAATAACTGACTACTTTCAGCGGAAGACAATGATGTAGTTGATGCATTATCGCTATTCGCGTTACTAGATGTTGTGATATTCACATTTTCAGTTGAATAAGCTTTATTTGGTGGATTGACACCTTTCTTAGCGATGTCATCGGATGAATAAGGTGTTTTGACCAGACCTACGCAAAAAGAAGAAAGGAAAAATGAAAGTACGCCACAGCGCTCAAAACTTTTACTAAATTAAAATTACAAACTCCTAAGCATATAGCTGCAATTTTTATCCCCATCACCTTAGTGCATAGTTAAGTTAATTGTTCTGTTAGTATGAACTGTGTCATTTAACTTTAGTCTCCATAAGGTATGACATTTATAAAAGGTTCATATTTTGTCCTTTAGCAATAGCATAAGCAAGAATAAGTTAAGAATCATTTATCCTTGTTTTTAGCCAATTTGTAGTAATTAGTGTGACAACTATGCTGCCTTATTCGTCTATAGAAATGGTTAATTATAGCATAATGACAAACACTTCGCTATATCACCATAAACATGCATTCTACAATATTTCGTCTAAACAGACAGCTATGCAAGAATTAATCCATCACAACTAAAGTAAAGATGAGAATTTTTTTGTTTTAAATGCAAATTTCATAAATGAAAAATATATTCTAGCACAAAATCAAATGAATAATTTTCGCAAACACCATGCATTTTATATTATATTTAATAAAATATATGCTCTGTCAGTAAATACGAGCGCTACGGCAGATGTGTATACCTTCTTCTGTTTCCAAATCATTTTCTCCTATTTATAAAAAGAACATTGAAAATAGGATGTTTAATATTAAGTAGAAGGCAGAACGTGCACGCTACAAAAGCAATACCACATTAGGCTCTCTATTTTTACGATCTAGAAGGATTTATTTATAAGCAAAAGCAACAACAACGGTCAGTCAGTTATAATTTGTCTTCAACACACACGCCAATAAAAAGCAGCACCAACTTTTTTTATACCTCGAGGATTCGCCTTAGGCGGTCCTTGAAAATAAAACAGACTATGACGGAATTGAACTGGAAGTGAAATATAATTAGAATATCACAAACCTGGCAATTTACTGCTAGATGGTACTTTCAGTGCACTTGGTTTTTTAAATGTAGGCTCAGATGATAGTGCTGTTTTATTTTGTACTGGTGTTGATATTCCACTATTTGTGCTACCCTGTGATTTCGACCCCAATGATTGATTCGATGGTGAGCGTACCATGTTCGACAATCCTGTTGGTAAATCAATTGTATTTTCATCAGGCACAGAATCAGCACTGGCGTCATCGATTGGAATTATCTAAATAGATCAAAACTTTAATACCATTCGCCTTTCTCGCTGATTACTTACTTGAGCAGGTCGAACAAATAAACCATAGTTGTCGTTACATTTGAAATATGTTTTTCCTTGAACATTTCCATTATTTTTTCCATTTGGCTCATCCAACACAATTCCAATCCATTTTCCTACAAATAGAATATTTAGTAATTGTTACATAGCTTTCGGTCAATACAGTTGAATGGATATACACCTGCAGCGAATGTTGTCATTCCTACAAAAGCAACTGTTCCAACTCCTTTATCTTGAATCCGCACTTTCTGGCCCAAACGAACCGGCTTCTCCTTCTCCATGTTGGGTAGAGTTTCTTTTTAATACAAAACAATTTAATCTAAATAAATGCTTTTTTAATCGACGTTCAACCTACAAGCATTTGCTTTAAAACATGGCTAGATTTAACTATACCCGTTTTGGGCAAAAAAGTACAATTGTCTTTGGATCTCAGTGATAGAAATAGCTTTCAGACCTCATAAGACCATACGTAAGACATTTGTGACACAATAGCAAGCAGATTGAATATATTGCTGAGTTAATGACTCATCCATAGTTTATCGACCACTCGATTTGGCGAAAGCTGTTGAGAAGTAAACCAACCATAACAGAAGCTATGAGTGAGTGAGTGTGAATCTATCATTTGTACGCATAATAATAATTCAGAAACCTAGAAGATATCGAATATATCTCTCTGTAATGATAGTAGAAGCAATTAATTGCATATGGAACACACACACTCTGTAGGGCAGCACTAAGTCACGCAGAAAATAGTTGTTCTAATATGGTAGATGAGCCAATAAAATTAGTCTCATGTGTAGCTTCATTTTTTAGTTTAATAAATTTAAAGCTGCACTTTTAAGATAACTCCGAGAAATGGTACTTTTACATGGAAAATTAGTTGTTGCAGGTAATACTATGTAATTAAGTTTGACGAATTTACTAAATTTGAAGTAGCTCTTATTACATCGAGTGTTCTGTTTGCAGGAGACGTTTGCGTTGGGAAAACTGCGCTATGTCATGTTGTTGGTAACGATGCTACTGCTTTTCCTAAAACATATAACTGTGTAAGTTTTTGATCTTTCTCCAATAACCATCACACTTCTTATCATCATTTCCTGTAATGGATTTAGACGAGTTTAGCTGATGTTGTTTTAAAACAAATTCGAGTGCCAGACAGTGAGGATACAGTTGTAAGTTTTTTCATGTTATTTTATAAATGTGAGAGAGATTAATGATTAATTTTCTTTTCTAGGAATTCTTTCTTTTCGACAGTTCAGGCAATAGCATCTATTCAGATTTATTAAAAGATGTGGTGAGTAGCTTGAGTTTATATCTACACTAGTTGTCGTAAGTATCCGACTTACTCTGTGGCTCTAGATCTATCTGAAGTACGAAACAAAGTTTTGTGTAAATATAGCTCTCATCATATGCTAATTATTCATATCACTTCTGGCTTATTTCGCTGAGTGACTTCTGAGACATCTTTTTTTGAGATTAACCTCTAACTCAAAAGAACCAACACTTTATTCTTACACTGGAACTGTCTCTTATCTACGATATAAATCCATGTGTTACTAACGGAAAAGTTACAATCGTTCGACGATCAACTCCCACTTTTAATATTTTCTATCATTATCGAATAATAGCCATAATTTATGCTAGATATCCAAGAAGTCACTCAGCGAAATAAGCCAGAAGTGATGTGAATAATTAGCATATGACAAGAACTATATTTACATAAAATTTTGTTTAGTAATTCAGATAGATCTAGAGCCACAGTGAGTTGGATAATTATGCAAACTGGTGTATCATTTTACAATGTATTTTATCTTTGATCACTTTAGTGGCTAGGCATGGATATGTACTGTATTGTCTATGACGTAACAAACAGAAATTCATTCAAAAGTTGTGGCATGTGGATAGAACGGCTTAATCAATCGCGTGGTGATCATAATATTTTTGGTCAGTAAATTTTGATTTATCATTGGTAAAATGCTAATGATATATATTTCGTTCTTCTTCAAAGGTGTACTAGTCGCCAATAAGATCGATAAAGATAGTTATCGTGTAGTATCAACTCAAGAAGGAAAACAACTGGCTGATACTAGAAAAATAGCTTTTTTTGAATGCTCAGCGGTATGAGAAACTGATTTAACCGTTTGAAAAAAATTGAAATGGTACTCTATGTAATTATTAAAATATTTTTAGAAAGACAACAAGGGTATTTCAGAATTATTTAAATATCTGGCAAGTGATTTTTTAAAACGTTATAAAGCACGTACCAAACAATTGGAGAAGATAGCACGTGACAATATTTGAAAATAAAAACATTATACGTTAAACTGGATTAGTCATCATAAAGTCTCAATATAAACAACAGCAACATTTTTTAATGTGAATTCTTTTATATCTTGTGGAATGAATGTCATTCATAAGTATTTTTTTGAGAAATTTCTCATTAATGGTTATGTTGTACAGAACGATATATTTTTCTTTCGAAAAATCTAGATAATTCTTGCTGTCATATGTAAGATTTTAACAAGGTAACTTTTTGGATAAAATTTGTTTATGCGAGGATAAATCAGATCGTCTCGTTAAAAATTGACCTATTCTCTTTACAATAAACTGAGACACTTGTATTGAAGTAGGCATACCTTGTTTGAGCTGTTATTTTACTGTATTTTGTAAACTCACTTGTTAATATTATTTGCAATTGTTTGTAATGTGGTGGCACAAATAAAAATAACAATTATAGGTTAAAAATAGTTTTCTAAGATGCCATCTATAAAAAGCTTTTAGGTAATACGATAAAAAATTGTTATCATGTTGTAGACTGATGTTGTTGACGTATGAGAAATTCGTTTAATAAGACAGAAACAGATAAAGGATTCTCCCGTTTGTTGGCAACGTTGTCATCAAAACGTTGCCCATTTCGAAATATCATAAATCATATGTAGTTTGGTGCAGAATTCTATTTTTCGTTTTGTTATCTCTCAACTCTGTGAAAATACGGGATGACTTAAAGCTGTCTTAGTTCTAATACAAAATGAGTATAGACCGGCTATGGTTATTTAATGGCAGGACTTCGTGTAAGCTCATAATATTACGAGTATAGATCGTCAAAATTTTTTTTCTCTTCTTTTTCAAATAATATCATTCCAGTTTTCAGTTTAAAGACTGTACGCGAGTCTGGTCTATCTCTTGTACAGAAAATAATTTGAAAATTTTTAGTCCTAACTATCTTAAAATTTTGTTTTGTGTTTTCCATGTGCATATGCCTTTGATTTGATGCATATAAAAATCGTTTTTCTCTGTCAGTTTGCTCCTTTTATATATAACAATAGCATATTTCGAATCTCTAAATGCAATTGCATCGCTTGAGGTATTTGACAGTATTCGTCACCTTAAACATACTAGAGTGACTAAACAGCGTTGACAATATTCTTTTTATCATATTACACAATATATAAGAATAAGTAGGCTGATGAATGACGCTAAAGACGTAGGCGAGTGAGACTAATTTCTATCCCACAATGAAAAAAATAATTTTTTTCTATGAGTAACGGCTTAAGGAGTTACTAGAACTATTTCTCATTATTTAGTTCCCGAAAATTTTTTATAACGATCGAAGTCACCCTCCTCTGAGAAAAATTTTTCGATGGTCTTTTCTAAAACTGCATGGGTTAGCAGTGTTTTATCTAGATTTCGTTTTTCGGGTAGGCGCTTGAGATTTTTGGAGGGGCTATTGGCTAAAAACTTTGAGAGTGAAAGTGAGAGAGAGAACATCGTCTTTTTTTACGAAATCAACTGTATAATTTTCGGGTAGGCAAATCGAAATTTCGGGTGGGTACCGCCCACCCGGCCTACACACTAGATAAATCACTGTGGGTTAGGTGTAGAATTTTACGCTGAAAAAGTGAAATTCCATATTCTATGGTTTTACTGGTTTCCTCTGATATAAAGCGTGAAAATGTGATATGTTGTAGAGATTTTAGCTCAAAAAACTTAATTCTAAAAAATTCATTTTAGGCGAATTTTTAAATGAAAAATCGGAAGTGTTTGAAAACGTGTGTAGTATACATCATTCAACTCTGTATTTTACATAGATTCCAAGTAAACAACTTATTTTGACAAAAAATCTTGTTTTGATGACGAAAGTCACGAAATACCATCCAAAAGCCGCTTAAAACCACATAAATTCCAATTTTCTAAAAAAGGATAGCATTTTTCTTTTGATAATGTCACTATTTGTTTACAGAATAAACAGTATTCTACATGATATCAATTTCAATAATAATAATAACTTAATATGAATCTGTTCCTCTTTTAGAGTACTACTTGGAATTTTTTGAGCATTTAAAGCAAAGTAAATTATACTCCGATAATAAATTGGAATAAAACCTGTAAAACACAGTGTTATTCTCCGACACTAAAATTTAATGATTTTGATATTTTAAACTCGACTTGTTTGAACTAAATAAATTTTGTTTTACAACCGCATTTTCGTTTCAAGCCTTGGAAACTTGAACTGGCCCTTGAAGCGTCAAGACGACGATTAGTAAGTGAATGGGTTTTTCAAGGCAAATGGAGCATCCGAAGAGTTAGCGGAAACTTTTTCCAACTTTTTTCATAAAAGCTTTGGAACAACTAATTTATAAAATTCAAAAAAATACGGTTGTCTCCGGTTATAGCTCCAAGTTGAGGCTACATTCTGAGAACGAAAACACTGCTCATCCTTAGTATTGGTTTCATGGACTTGGCCTCAATGCTGAATTTTGTTGAAAATTGACTGGATTCTTCTTTTTACTCTTATTTGAGCAATGCTATATTGTTCAATCGTCATTCGAAGCGTCTATAATCTATAAATGCCTAGTCGTTTATTCTTCGTTCAATTTCAATCTGAAAATACTTGAGACATTTAAATCTGAATCACTTCAATAGCGAATGACAAATATGTTTGAATAAACTTTTGATTTTTTTTCTTCTTTTCTTTCATATAATATATATTAAAACATGATCGCTGAAAAACTTATTTACTTCAGGCTACATTGAATTTTTTGATTAATAGAAAAAACTGAATTTCATTATGAGTTTGATACTATATAGATATATATATAGGTCAATTATTTTTATAACACATTGAAAAGAACAAAGAGTAAAAGTGAAAAAGGTATATATTTTCATGTAGAGAACGAAGGAAAAAGAAGAATATCCCCACCTCTACCTTTGAAAAAAAAGTTCATTTGATAATATAAATTAGGTCTATACACATATATGCGTTATTAAAATAGAAATAAAAAGGCACACAGGTGAAAGAAAGAATGTGTGATGAAAAGAAAAGAAAAATTTGGCCTCAGTTCAGAACTTTTGCTTGAAAAAATAATCCATTTTATCAGAGAGAGAGAAAAAGCATATATCACAGACGTTTACTATTAGTGCAGTTTTAAAATACGATGAAATGTGACAAGGTGGAAGATTTATTTCAACATTTAGTGGAAATGTCCACTTTTCAAAGCAAAATGTATGGTAAGTTATATTGATTATGATGATATACTTTTACTATGTATTGTAATGTTGATAGAATAAACATTACAAGAAAGTTAATGGAATTCAACGAACAAGACAGTTTTTAGTTTATTTATTATTTTGATGATAGTATCATTTCTAAGAATTGTTGAACTATGAAAATGGTTATTTCCATCTTTTCTGCTGGCTAAATGCGTATTTTGTAATTGTTTTAGAGTTAAAATCATCCGTTTATCAATGATAGAAAATATCAAGAATGTATTGGTGAATTTGACGAATGTTTATCTGAACGTGAACATACTTTTTTATTTTGTTTCTTAACTGTTCATTTTATCTAACTGATAAATGTAGTACTGCTTCTTTTTTTGTATTCTTATACGTCTTCATTACATTCCATAATGAAATTTAGTTTCATGTACATAAAAAATAAAATTTCTAGAACTATTAGACTGTATGATCTTAACGGAAATTGATACGAACAAACAACCGTATATTTCAAAATGATGTGACACCGGACACGAGATATACCTTTCAATCATTTCGTACTACATCGTTGATTGTTATTTTATAAACTTAACTCTTAAAAATTATGAATCAGATACATTAAGAGTACTACTCTCCCGAAACATAAAAGATCAACTTGGGAGTTAAAAACAGAGTATAATAAAATTAAGTGTTCTCTACAGTTTCGGACCACTTCACGCTCTTTCTTTGAGGACGAATGATTTTTTAATGTCTGATACTTTAAAACTTCAAATTAAACCTACGGAATTGTTTTCTTTTTTATCGTCTCACAAGCTGAGGTTAAGCTGTTAGTATATCCGATCTTTGAAAAACCCACCAAGATAAATTTTGGAAGACAC